TAGTTTTCCCACCGATACCAATTTAAAAACAGTTGTGGATTTTTTTTTAACCCCCCATTCACACAAAGAATTGCAACCATCTAAAAGACTCAGGCCTGCTCTTCCATGTTTAAAATGGAAGTTGGTTTTCTGAGATACTTCTTGGTTTTTTGAAATTATGAAAAGAGATTCCATACCTGAAGCCTTGGGATGAATTGCTTGTGCAGTTTCATATATATATAAAAATATATAGCAATAGGCATCATCTACTGTATAGACATATTTGAAAATTCTGTTTTTGGTTTTCCCTTTTTAGGAATTTATAAATATTAGCATTATCTTACTCATTGAAAAGATATTCTCAGAGCATGGAATGTGCCCAAACAAGCTAAAGAGATGAAACCCACGCACTGTTTGCATCAGCAGAGTGGGATTCTAAATTCATCTCAGTTTGAGCACGAGCCTAGTCATTCATCTGCTATGAATGACTAACTGGGCATCTTCAAATTTTATTTATTTTTACCTAGAAATAGGGATTCTGCTAACCTTGTGTAACTCAAATGATCCTGATGATTAAGACCAGAGACATAAAGTGTCTTATACAAGCTATAAAGTTCTACACAGCATTATATGGTGTCATTGATAACCGGGGGCCAGTGATGGGCACATTGTAAAGCATGTAGGTGCAGTTGCATGAGGACTGAATTTTAGCACCACATGTATTATATTAAGTACAGACAGGTATAAATGCATGATTAACACAAATGGAAGCAAAAGTTTACTTGCCTAAATGTGATACTTTCCAGTCATTCAGACATTCATAATGGAGGAGTGCATAACTTAGTTGCTGACTGAATGAGAAAAAGGGCAAAATTTGGTTGAGGGAGGATATAGTATAGAGGACCCTTCTGAAGGGAAAGCATGAACCCTGGAGGAGGAAAAAGAGGAGACAGACAACTAGTGAAGGGCTGGGGGGAAAGCTCTTTGAATTAAGAGATGAGGGTCCTAGACCTGAGGCAAATTTGTACATCTTATATTAAAAGCTCACAACATTTGGGGGAGAATGGAACCCATAGTGCTTTATTGATCTCACCACTCCAAGAAGACTTTCCTCTCACAGGCCAATGGTACAGACCCTGGCTCAGATTTGCAGGAATTTCTGGCCCTAGATGGGCTTTTGAACTAATTGTCAAGTTCTACTAAGTAACCACAGTGTCCGGTATGGAAGTCTCCAGCCTGAAGATTTCTGTACGGGTGTTGACTGGCAGCTTCACTGGAGCAAAGGGTTTTGACTGTAGAAAATTGGAATTCATGAGTTTTCCTTTCTTCATTTTTGTGTTTATTGTGGTTACTGTTCGTTTGCTTTATTTGAGCCCTTGAACCCTAGGACTCTGATATGCAGTAATGACATCTGCTGAGCTCCAGAGAGACCCTGCTTGCAAGTTTATGCCAGGGAAGTCCATCTATAGTTGGAGATGAGTATCAGAAAATAGTACTTAATTAAAATGATCAATTACAACGAGCAGAGACTTATTTAATAAATATTAAAAGACCGACTCAATGAATGAGTTTATGACTCTGGAACTAGCAAAATTATAAAAACACAATTCCCCACTGAAGAAGTAATAAATAGAACTCATTACTAGGAGAATGAAATGTTGCCTCTCTGAGGATTTAGATTTTTCAGTGGCATTTTTAGCATCTATGGCCCTATTAAACCCTGTTATTTTCTTCCCAATTTGTGCCATTTAGGAATGATTTTCATTTAACTTTCCCGTGGCTCATTTCTCTCCTTCAGAATTTCCATACGATTCCTTGATAAAGTCCATGCTTTAACAACTTCCATTAAAAAACTGTAATAAGCACCAACTAAATAGCAATATGATATAGCCAGAACATAAAGGACTGACAGGAGAAGAAATTGGCCAGCTGGGTAGTTAGTTTTTATTCTTGAATGCCTGCTGCGCTTTTTGCCTCTTGTGGTTGTTTTCAATCCTCTAGATAAGATTCCATGCCTAATGGACAAGGACTCTAAGGAGACAGTTCTCACAATTCTTAAGGAACAGCCTTTCTTTCCCATAACAAAATAATCAAGCAGCACCTTTTGATGACATAGTGATTGCTATTCTTCACCCCAGCCCCATAATGGAAAGAAAAGGTTTTTATTTTTTGCTCCTTCCTTGTCCTTTGGGCTTTGTAAAATACCCCTTACATGTTCTATTTAGTGGGCCTATGTTCTCTAGAGAATTGTGTGAGAGTCATTTAGCAACCTGGGCCCCTTTCAATTCACCCAGTACTTATTGAACCCACTCAGTGCCCCATGTCTTGTGAAATACAGACATTATGGAAACTTTGTTTCCGCCTGCCTAAGACTCAAGAGTTTTTTGAGTAGTCACCTACACAAATGCTGCTTGTCCAGGTCTGACTTTGGTTAGGACTAGAAGCATCCTTAGGTGTGAAAAGTACAAATTGTGTTTCTCTGAGCTTACTTTCTCACTTTTATTTAAAGTGAGAAGTAGACTTATTATATAAAGTGAAAAGGAGACATTAAGACCAAGATGAGAAAAAGAGCTAAAGTAGTGTGAAAAATAGGAAACACTTAGAAAAAGAGTCAGGTGATGACTTTATTAAATTTGTCTGCTCCTCCAGCAAAACACAATGAGGTTCTAACCACCAGCACTGTCCCAGCCCCTGTACATAATGTTATAATCTGGCAACAAGTCTCTTAAAACTGAGCCTGTCACTGAGTACCAAAAACATGTCAACTAGGGGTCATGGGAAAAGCCTTGTGGAAGTGATGGGGTTTACTTGGGCTTTGAAGGAAGGATAGGGATTTATCAGCTAGAAGTGACAGTATGAGCAATATTAAAATAGCATACACATATGGGGGAAAAATCAAGTAAATCCATGTGAATCTTGTTTAAGAGGTACTATTTTTTTTACTCATTAGTTAAAGGGGTGGGTCAACATCTTCCTGCAAAGATACGCTCCCTATCTTCCAACAGCTTTTCATTGAGGTTAGCTACTCTGCTTAGCTGTAGATTGCAAAGCATAAAGAGTAAAAATAGTAAATCAAATATACAACCAGACATTCAAATGTTTATATCAGAGCAACATGCAACTACACAGGTTTTCATTTTTCTAGCTGTCTTTGGGCTTTATGTAGGAGGTAGGGTAGAAATGTAAACTCTGCTTAGTATTGATAGCTTTAGAAAAATAAGTCCCTCTCAGGATATTCCATCCATTTGCTCTCAAATTCATGCATGAGGTATGGGAAAATACTTTGTTAATTAATACTTCCATCTACCCCTGGTTTGTACAAAGTGCTTTGGCAGACTTTCATGTATCTCATATGAAAGCCAAAGAGCTTTATTTAAATTGTCTGTTACATATTGAAAAGTTTACAGAACAAGCCCACAAATTCAGTGCAGTCTTTATTTTTGTGGTAGAGTGGAGTTGGCTAAACCCTCAGCTGTCATCAGCTCACTTTCCAGGTGTCTGTTCCATTGGGGTCCTGTCTTTCATTTTGATAGATTTTTCTCTTACCTCTACCATGCCAGGAGTTGGGCAGGCTTTTCTCCCTTACAAGTTATTTATTACCTCCTTATTCTAACGTAGGTTCTGCTTCCAAACCTTTCGTTTCAGTCTTGGCAGCATTCACAGCATGAAATGTGCTGCTTTTATTACTTAATTCCTTACTTTCCTACACCTACTTCCACTTTTATTTTCCCATCTCCTTTCATTTTGCCTTCACATATTTTTCACTTTGTGGTTTTCCTTTTCCTTGTGTGCTCTACATGAGAGAGCCAGAACCCCACAGTTAAAAATAGTTTCTGACATTATTTGTGATTCCTAAGATGTAGTCTCACAAATAACCTTTTCTCATTTGATTTCCATCTGACATGCTGACAGTGCTCCAATCTTGTTTTCTGATTATCCCATTACATAGTGCTTTCCCTCTCATTTAGTGGAAACTTGCAAGTAATGGTTCTGTTTGGATAGCGCTGCCTAGTCATCATTTACAATTTTGTGGAATTAGAAAGGCAGTGGGAGAAAAGAACTCAAGCTTAAGTTCTTACTTAAAAGGAAAAGCATTAATTAACTATTTTGGTAATAGGTTGACTCCGTCTTCATCAGCATGGTATACTAGAGCCATCTTTGTGATCTAGAGTAACCTATCATGCAATGAAACATCTTCTTACTGAGAGTGCTGTGCTCTATATTGAGTAATGCATTTTAAATTCTGTCTTAAAAAGGCAGGCAAACTCAATTGACTACCCAATGGGATACAGTTTCAGGGAAAAAAATCATCACAAACAAGTGCATAGGAAGTAACCTAAGAATTCATTTACTGTAATCATTGTTTTTACCATAAAATTGTAAATATTCACAGTCAGTAATCAGTCATGCCCAGTCTCTAACAGTCTAGTAGTGTTTGTCGTGTGTGTGTGTGTGTCTGTGTTATAGCTATGCTCTGAAAATATCCTACAAATAGCCGAATTCATATAAAGCCACAATACCCAGGAGGCTAAATGATTGCCTGTTAGCATTGATCATTTGGGGGCATAAAAAGAAATTTCCCGTGCAAATACCACTTTTCTTATGCATTCTAAGGACCTCTTATATTCAAGAGTAAATTTTCCTTATATATATTTGTTTCAATTGACATCTTAAAGTACATCTGAAAATACAGTATGCCATATAATTGAGAGCTGGACCATCTAATAGATGCTGTGTGAGGTCTTTCGGGAAATGAAATGGTAATGGAATTCCTATTCTCAGTGGTAGGAAATGACTGTCCTTTGTTTATGTCTTAGTTGATTTCCCCTGTATGTTTCTTTAGGCAAGTCAGTAATTTCAGAGAAGCCAAATACATCTTGCTTTTTGGGAGTGTAATTTGGCTGTTTTAGCCAGAGTATAGTTCTTGGGTTATGTTCAACAGGCATTACTAAAAGATAGGCTCTTTTTATATAACTTGTAGAGTTCCACATAATTTTTTTTTCCTTTCCTGTTCTTGACAGGTGCATGAGGCAGTCCTATGCTACAGTGAATGCAATCAGTATTCCTGGATTGTAGAACACTGGTCTCCATGCAAAATCCACAATGAGCTGAGGTCTCTGCGCTGCGGAGAAGGAATGCAATCTAGGAAAATCAGGTGTGTGGAAATGGAGACATTTGGGAAATGGGGCAGAGGAACGTATACCTTTTTATTAAAAAACAGTGTTTATCCAAGTGCACTCTAATTTTCATACTACATACTCTGGCTTTTGCTCATCATTAAGTTTGTATAGAAGTATATGTGCCTTAACTGCCATGTGTACAGTGGGATTTCCTCTGCAGTGTAGTCACAATCCCTACTGTTCCCTGCAAATGACTTCAGTGGGAAAGCTAACTGCATGGAGCAGGCTAGCATCCCTTCACTGATCCACAGCCATAACTGTTAACAAATTGGGAGATTTTGGCTGTGATACCATGTCTCTTTTTTGGTCTATGGGTAGTGTAGTTGATGGACATTATCTTTTTTTTATTTTTTATTTTATTATGTTAATCACCATACATTACATCATTAGTTTTTGATGTAGTGTTCCATGATTCATTGTTTGTGCATAACACCCAGTGCTCCATGCAGAACGTGCCCTCTTTAATACCCATCACCAGGCTAACCCATCCCCCCACCCCCTCCCCTCTAGAACCCTCGGCCTGTTTCTCAGAGTCCATAGTCTCTCATGGTTCGTCTACCCCTCCGATTTCCCCCCCTTCATTTAATTTTGAATGTCAGTACATTGAAAAGGTCAATTTAAACCCTCACTATTGGTCTTGGAAACTACAGTCTGAGAATACTTATGAACTGTAGTGATGAATTTTAATATAAAAAGAGCACACCTCTGAAAGAATTTAGTGAATTCTGGGTTATTTACGGAGGGATCTTGTTTAAAGTTTTTGTTTTGTAAATACAGCAGTGTAAGCAAAGGAAACACTTGGTCTGAGTTTGTCAAAATGGCCTATTTAAGAATGATTTGGAAAGAATGAATTTCTTTACCAACTGAGGATATGGTAATAAATGTTAGACTGAACAAGCGAAAACTAAAATATTAATGATAAACAATGATTAGTGTGTAAAATCAAGAAGAAAATATAGTTTAGTCAACTATTCGATTGCATGAGCAGAGAGTATCATTTTGTGAGATTTAGGAAGCTCCATTTCAAATGGACAGACAGTTCTCAAATCCTATAACTCCTTGTTGAGTTAACTGTGAGATTGAAGTCAGTTGCTAAGGCAGACTCTACTTATATATGTTGATTGTTATTCAATATCAGTGAACTTACTTTATTCAGTAATTCAGTATATACCCACCATTTCTGAGACTTAATCCCAGTGTTGCAAAATCACTGGTAGCCATGTTGGAAGAAGTAGCTATTCGTGAAACGGTCATCAAGCCAAGCAAATGGCTAATAGACGAATTGTCTTTCTTTCACTTTGTTAGTTCCCCTTTCCTCTGGGGACTAGTGTGTTCATGCTGTCACAGACTTTTTTCTCTTCAAAATCTATGTCTCCACTGTCTTGTTCTCATGGTTTTGAGAAATGACTGATCAACCTAGCTTATTAAGTAACAAGCAGATGAGCTGTGATACCTCCCACTCGCATCCCAGCCAGGCCTCTTAGCAGTACTAAAGCAAAATCTCAGGAGAGAAAGGAAGGCTTTAAGAGAATAAATTGCTACTGACAGAATTATGGCAGGCTGACGGAGGAAAAACATACTTAAACAAGAAAGTCTTTAAGCAATACTTCTCAGCTCAAACTTACAGAGCTTGATATAATACTAATACCACAGCTACTGAATACCACTCTGTTATGAGGTGAATTGCATTCCCCAAAAATCTATGTATTATAGACCTAAACTTCAGTACCTCAAAACAAGGCTATATTTGAAGATAGACTCTTTAAAGAGGTAATTAATGTTAATGAGGTCTTTGGGATGGGCCCTAATCCAATCTGATTCATGTCCTTATAAAAAGAGGAGATTAGGACACACACACACACACACACAGGGAAGAGCTTGTAAAGACACAGGGAGTGTAATCATCAAGACAGTATGGTACTGGCACAAAAAGAGACACATAGATCAATGGAACAGAATAGAGAACCCAGATATGGACCCTCAACTCTATGGTCAAATAATCTTTGACAAAGCAGGAAAGAATGTCCAATGGAAAAAGGACAGTCTCTTCAATAAACGGTGCTGGGAAAACTGGACAGCCACATGCAGAAGAATGAAACTGGACAATTTTCTTACACCATACACAAAGATAAACTTGAAACAGATGAAAGACCTAAATGTGAGACAGGAATCCATCAAAATCCTAGAGGAGAACACAGGCAGCAACCTCTTCGACCTCGGCGGCAGCAACTTCTTGCTAGACGTGTCTTTAAAGGCAAGGGAACAAGAGGAAACAAGAACTTTTGGGACTTCATCAAGATAAAAAGCTTCTGCACAGCAAAGGAAACACTCAGCAAAACCAAAAGGCAACCTACAGAATGGGAGAAGATATTTGCAAATGACATATCAGATAGAGGGCTGGTATCTGAGATTCATAAAGAACTTACTGAACTCAACAGCCAAAAAAGAAATAATCTAGTCAAGAAATGGGCAGAAGACATGAAGAGACATTTCTCCAAAGAAGACCTACAAATGGCCAACAGACACATGAAGAAATGTTCCATGTCATTCGGCATCAGGGAAATACAAATCAAAACCACAATGAAATACCACCCCACTCTAGTCAGAATAGCTAAAATTAACAAGTCAGGAAACAACAAATGTTGGTAAGGATGCCGAGAAAGGGGAACCCTCTTAAACTGTGGGTGGGAATGCAAGCTGGTACAGCCACTCTGGAAAACAGTATGGAGGTTCCTCAAGAAGTTAAAAATAGAGCTACCCTATGACCCAGCAATTTTACTACTAGGTATTTACCCCAAAGATACAAATGTAGTGATCCAAAGGGGCACATGCACCCCAATGTTTATAGCAGCCATGACCACAATAGCCAAACTGTGGAAAGAGCTGAGATGTCCATCGACAGATGAATGGCTAAAGAAGATGTGATATATGTATACATATAATATATATATATATGATGGAATATTACTCAGCCGTCAGAAAGGATGAATAGTTACTATTTACATCAACGTGGATAAAACTGGAGTGTATTATGCTGAGCAAAATAAGTCAATCAGAGAAAGACAATTACCATATGGTTTCACTCATGTGGAATATAAGAAACAGTGTGGAGGACCATAGGGGAAGGGAGGGAAAACTGAATGGGAAGTCATTAGAGAAGGAGAAAAACCATGAGACTCTTAACTAGAGGAAACAAACTGAGGGTTGCTGGAGGGAAGGTGGATGGGGGGATGGGGTAATTGAGTGATGGGCTTTAAGGAGGGCATGTGATGTGATGAGCACTGGGTGTTATACATAACTGATGAATTATTGAACATTACATGTGAAACTAATGATGTACTATATGTTGGCTAATTGAATTTAAATGAAAAATAAAAAATAAAATACACAGTTCATCAGCCATCTACAAGCCAAGGAGAGAGGTCTCAGCAGAAACCAACCCTTCCAGGACCTTGATCTCAGACTTGGAGCCTCAAGAACTGTGAGAAAATAATTTCCTATTGTTTAAGGAAACTAGTCTGTGATATTTTGTTGTGGCAGATTTTGTTGTATGCTTTATGTGTATGATCACATTTAAATATGTGAAGCAGATTTTCTGGGTATCTTGCATTCCAAACCATTATTGACCTTAATAAGACACTGTTATAATGAATAAAATAGCTTATCCTTCTCTTTCTTGAAACTTCCAAACTGGGGGACATCTTCATGGTTCATCTTGGATTGCAATAATTTATTAATTCAAAAAATATTCTATGTATCAGGCAGTCTAGGCAGTGGGGATAAAAGAAAAGTGAACAGAATTTCTATCCTCAAATAACTTACAGTGGCAGAGAAAAAGATAAACACATAAATATAATGGAATGTCTTTGCTGGGAAATGCCAAGAAGAAAATAAAATTCGGTTGGAGTGATGGGGGATACTGTTTTGGAGAGGTTGGCCAGCAAAATATCCAAGCAGACATCTGAATAAAATGAGAGACCTGGATGAATATAAAGATCTAAAGAAAGAAATCCCAGGGAGAAAGAGTTTCCAAAGTAGTAATCTTCTTGGCTTGTTATAACAAGATGAATAGCAAGGTGTCCTGTATGGCTGGTGCCAGTACTCAAATCATACAATCTTCTAAAACAAAGTAAAAGGATTTTTTTCTAACTGCAAATGGAAGCCATGAAATGTTTGAGACAGAGGAAATGACATAGTCTTATTTACATTTGAAAGGACTTGTTGGATGTAAAGAAGGTGTTTTGGGGGGTATATAAATAGAAGCAGGGATGAAGGTTTCAAAGACATTCCAGAATTCCTGGTGGGAGACACTGATGGTTGGGCTGGGCTTGGTAATAATGAAGGTGGTGAGAAGGTCACATTTGGACTATATTTGGAAGGTACAGACCGCAGGATTTATTTATAAAGTGATTGTAGAACGTGGAAGAAAGAAAGCATCAAAGATGACTGCTAGGTTTTAGTGCCTAACAATCATAGGAATGATGGTGCCATTTGTTGAGATGAGGAATATTAGAAGCAAGTTTGAGAGAGAAAAATCAAAAGCTAGCTTGTGAACAAATTAAATTTGCCTTCCAACTGTGACAATACAGACTAGAGTTCAGAAAGAGACAGTGGTATAAATTTGGGCATCAACAGCTTATACATTTGATATATATTGATAAGAAAAGACAAGAAATTGAGCCCTGGGGAACTCCAGTATTCATAGATAGAGAAAGTTCTACAAATGAGACAGAAAGAGCTGTTGGAGAATGAGGAAAACCAAGAAAATGGGAAAGCAAGAGGGTTTTTCAAGAAAAAGAGAGCAATCAGTTGTTTCAAATGGGTCTCAGAAATTTAGTAAGATGACAATTGACCATTGAGTTTGGCAATAGGAAGTCTGTTAATGATCCAGATAAGAGGTTGCTCTGAAATGGTAATAAAAGTGTGATTAAATGAAATTCAAGAGATAGTCATGAAGGAAGTTGGGGATGGGGGGCGGGAAGGCTGCAGGAATAGCAAATATGCTTCAAAACAGTTTTGCCCTGAGTTTTGAGTAGGAATGAGGTGACAACTGAAGATATGAGATGGAAATTGATAATGCAGGATATGTAATTCCAGGGGCATTTTCACTTGGGAACATTTTCAATTCAGTCTTTTTAAGTCTTTACTCTTGGGCTTGTCAGAACCCCCAGAAAAGTCTTTTCATAAATCACGCGTGAAATCGATAATCCTAGCGGCCAGTGTTTTGGCTGATGTGGTAAACAGAATTGTAGCCCCCCAGAGATGTCCACATTCTAATCCCTGAAATCTGTGAATCTCTTACCTTCTATAGCAAAAAGGACTTTGCAGATGTGATTAGCTTAGGATGTTGAGCCAGGAAGATATTCATGGATTGTCTCCACAGGGACAATTTATTCACAAGGGTTCTTAAATGTGAAGGGGAAATGGGAGAGAAAGGAAAATGTGACCACAGATGCAAGGCACAGAGAAATGCAAGGCTGTTGGTTTTGAAGATGGAGGAGAAAGGGGCCATGCCCAGGTAATGTGGGTAGCCCTTGGAATCTGGAAAGAGCTAAGGAAGTGGTCTCTCCTCTAGAGCCTCCAGAAAGGAATCCAGCTCTACCAAAGCATTGATGTTAGCTTAGTGAGATCCATGTTGGATTTCTATGCTACAGAATTGTAAGATAATAATTTTCATTTTTTAAACCACTAGGTTTGTGATAATTCTTCCAGTGTATTAACTTGTACTTAAACCCTTGTTTTCAATATGATATTCTCATCCTTAAGTGAGCCATGTGTTCTCTAGCCCAGAGACTGTCTCTTTTTGTGGCCCTTTCCAGATAATAAACCTTCAGTTACCTGCAGGGGGGTGGGGAGGGGCCATCACCTAGCCCTGTGGATTGTGGGAGGTCTGAGGGCCCAGGTACTTCTTAAACATACTTTCAGTAAATCTTCCAGTTTTTCAGCCTCACCTTCATCCACATTTCCAGAGGTACTTGGTGCCCCAAGCTCCTGAATTTTTTATGTTTCCTGTGGTGTAAATGGAGTTACTTTCTTTGTTTTTCCTTGAAGTCTTAGTATTTCAGCTTTCTTGGTATGGTGAGTGAGTTACCTCTAGTTCATCTGTTTTCCATTTGTTTTCTTTGTCCTTTCCCATGTTCTTTGTCCTTGTAGGGTAATGCCTTTCCTCCCATCTTGGGTTTTTGAGTTTTCTTTGTTTGTGGGTTTTTTGGTAACAAATTCCTTTACGATCGTTTTTGTGGCATATTAGGAGTGAACAAAGACTAATGTGTACATTCAACTGGACACCACTGCCCAGAAGTCTTATCTCTTCTTTCTCGGTGAAATAATAAAAGAACATCAGCAGAGAGTATGCAGGCAAGAAGGAAAGCAATTTCCAGCTTTTAAGTTTGTCTGTAACAAGACACACAAGCTTTTTTGTGGTCCCTCCTTCCACTATTGACTATTATCACAAAAGAAATTAAAGTCCATAGATGGCTGTATACCAGGCCTCCCTGTATTAGAAGACATTCCTTACCTCTTCTACCTTTCGGTGTTAACCTTGTTTATACAATGTACAGTTTTTCATTACTTGGCACCTCATAAAGCTTACTTTCTATTGTACAAGGTAATAGACCACTTTGCAATTTTCCTGAATTAAAAAAAATTATATGTATAAAAGAAACTCCTAATGTATAGGATAACTCATTCTAGCCTAGCATGATTTGGGGGGCACCAAAAGCTCTCCATCGTATCGGTCTTAAAATGCTTACTCCTTGGCTGTGGCATTGTGTCCCAAGTGATCAGATCAGCAAATGGCACCACTTATCTCACTGTCATTATCATTTTCACCTTCACTTTGATTATTATCACTTGAAGAAAAGTGTTACAACAATAGGGATCTTATCTCTCTCTCTCTTTTTTTTTTTTAAGTCTGTACCCCAGCAACCAGGCAAGGGCCTGGTACACAGTCCTCAAAAATATTTACTAAATGAATTATTATTAACAAATACTAAGTGTGTTTCCCATGCCTAGCAAAAGAGGTTTGCATGTAGCTAGTCTTTCTTAAATATTTTTTAAGAAATAATTCAAACATAAAATTCTAATTGAGATTTAATATAAATACAGAAAAATGCCCACTCAGGGTATAGTTGAATGAATTTTCACAACAGGGGCACGACTGTGTAACCAGCTCAGAGGCCAAGAAACAAAATATTACCAGGACTACCTTAAGCCCCTAGTAGTAAGTAACCATTCCCCCAAAGGTAACCACTACTCTGACTTCTGACAGCATAGATGATACTGCCTATTTATTTCTGTGAATGAAATCATACAGCATATTCTTTGGTGTCTAGCTTCTTTTGTGCAGCATTCAATTTTTGAGCTTCACCCACGTTCCATCATGTAATAGTAGTTCATGCATTCCCATCATTTACCACAATATATTTATCTATTGACCTTGTTGTTGAACAGTTGGACTATTTCTAGTTTGGATGATTATGAATAGTGCTAATATGAATATTTTCTGTCAGTTTTTTTTTTTTCTTTTTTGGTGCACATTTCTTTTGTGTATGTATATAGACATAGAATTGTTGGGTCATATGATATGTATATGTTGCCCTTTAGTAGATACTGCCAACTAGTTTTCCAAAGAATATTATGCTCCAGCCAGCAGAGTAAGAAGAGTTACAGTTGTTGCCTGTTCTTGCCAACCCTTGATATTTTCCGTATTTTTTATTGAAGCCATTCTGGTGGATATATAATGGTATAACACTTTGGTTTTGATTTGATTGAATCAATAGCATGATTATTTATCTTTCCTTGGCCAGCACTTATCTCAAAGCCCAATACAGATTAGGCCAAGCATCTGTATACTGTGTGTTCAAATGCCACATGAAAATGCTTACATATTACCCTTTGGCTTATACCCAAATTCCTTACTGAAATGCAGAAAATACCTGAGAGAAAAACATGTTTAATTATGTTTCACATTACTTGGCTATGACCTTAAATGTTTTGGACAGAGATTAGGAAAGTTTGGTTGATGTGAGATAGAAGTGTAGGAAAGGTCTCAGAGAGTCACAGGAACTAGGAAGGCTCTCGCTATTACAAAGTGATGAACTCATTCAGAGAAGAAGAGCCTTCAAGATTTGTTACAGTAAAAAGAAAATCCACTCTGTGCTGGACCCGAGTAAAAATAGAGTAGATCTCTCGAGATGGAGAGTTCTTTCAGAATGGCAGTGGACCTCAGTCTTCCCATTTTTCTCTCTTGCTCTGCTAACTGAAGGGTTATCACTCAGTAAAGGTCAACAGGCTGAAGAAGGAACTTTTTTCCCCTTGATTTCTCTGCTGGTCTATTTTATGTTTAATTATCTTCGAGGGGTAACTATGGTATAGCATAACTACTTTACATTTACTCTCCACTCTTTTTAAGTCTCCACTGTTTTATCCTTGTTCTTGCCTTGCAGATGTGTGAATGCTGCTGATAGTGAAGGGGGAGCCGTGGATAACAGCCTGTGCAGCCAGGATGAAATTCCCCCAGAAACCCAGTCGTGCTCTCTTCTGTGTCCCAGTGAATGTGTCATGTCCGAGTGGGGGCCTTGGAGCAAATGCCCACAGGTAACTTCTCTTCCCTTGTCAATACCCTAATCCTCCAGCGCTGCCTTCACTGTTGGCTACTATATATTCACAGTACTTGCTCTCCAAAACATTCTTCTAGTAACACAAGAACAGAATTTTACCTAAGAAGGAAGGAAAAAAAATTTAGCAAGCGAGACTGAGCAATTTAAAATGGCCGTGCTTCTCTTAAGGCCTTTATCATGGGAACACGGACAAGGAAAATGAGCCTATAATGATCATACTAGGATTCGAATGCACACCCATTGTTAAAGGGGTCTTCTTGAGTACCAAAATGATTCTCATTATAATCTCTTGGTTCTGTTCCATTTTTATCCTGGCAGAATCAATTATATCTTAGTAGCTCAACTCTACTGTGTAATTTAGCTTCTGTTCGTGATGATCTGTTTTTGCCTTTTGCTGTTTTCCCCAAAGATGAGGTGTTCTTTTGTCATGTTCTTCTTCCAAAGCTGACAAAAAAACCCCAAAAAACCCTTTTTAAAAATCTAAAGCATTTGCCTTTATTTTTTTCTTTAAAAAAAAAAAAAAAGGAAACATAACGTGACTATGGAAAAATAAATATTCCTCAAATAGAATGGTTCCACTTAATATTCTCAGAAGCTAAACTCTGATAGTTTAGACTTTTATTTTGGCTTAAAGAGCTAAAAAAGAAAATGAGGATAAGGATTATGTTATATGGCTTCAAACATTAGGAAGGGAGACTTAGGTTTACTCTGAATTCAGTGGTGATACAATTTGTGGGAAGATTGTGTAAAATCTTTGTATAGAAATGGAAGATATTTTTGAGATCAGTTAATACTCTGTATTTGCAGTTTTGAATTATTGATTCATCATTAATTTTTGCAACCTTATCTTTGACATTTCCATAATTCTATTCCTGAAAGAGATTTCCCTTTGTTGTTATTCTTTCTTTGTTGTTTTTTGGGGGGCTAGGACAACACAATATTAAGATGAAGAGGTATTAATTAAGGCTGATTTGTGGGCATGGAATGTTGGTTCTGCTTATTTTGTGTGTAACTTAAATATAAGAAAAGTTAACATTTATTGAGCACTTACTGTGTGCAAGGCACATGTAAAATTTTTCTCTTTAGTACCCATAACAATCCTATTAAGTACATACTATTATCAGTCCCATTGTACAGATGGAGAAGCTGATTCTCAGGAAAGCTAAGTAGCTTGCACTGAATAAGTGATGCAGCTGGGCTAAACTTTATACTATCTGATGAAGCCAAAGCCTTTGCTCTTACGTCCTTGGCTTCCTTACCTTGGATGAATTAAAGTGGATTTAGACCCATACTTTCCCTTCTTTAAGATGCAGCATTTATTTTAAGAATAAAGCAAGTTACTGGTCTGTATGATTATTCTATGACCACACTTTAGAAAATGTGGCAGCATACATTATTAATCAACTTGCAGAATTAGCATTCTAAGTTAAATTAAATGTAGAGGTCATGATCTTACTCACTTTGCTTTTTTTTGGTAATTTGCTCATAATAAACTCCATTAAGCTATAAGAACTTTACAATGAAAATGTTGCCCTTTTAAGTCAAGGATTCTGGCCACTGAGCTAAAATGTCTGTTACAGGAGCATTTTATACAATGTTGTAATGGCCTGGCATTCTGTGTTTATTTCTTTGGGTTTCTAAGAGGAAATTTCCTTCAAGGTTTACTTTTCCAAACATAATTAAACTATTTTTGGAGCATTTAGAAATTGGAGATAGAAAAAACATTTCAGCCTCCTTTCATATATCTGGAAGATGACATAGGCAGTTACTTGTCAGCGTGAAGTGAGAGGGTTGTTCTGTCAACTGCTTATGCACCTGCTAAGTTACATTATCATCATCATCATCATAGCTATGACGACAGTAATAACTTTCATTGAGCACATCTTATGTAATAAGCACTGTGCTGGAATTTTCTAACACTGTGCTATGATGATAGACATTTATCCAGTCTCAGGTCTGTTCGACCACAATGGCCTAGCTCTTTCTCATATGCCATGATGCTCTCAAGTGTAAATAAAGACTTTAAAATGGAAAAAAAAAATAGTAATCAGGGCTCATACCTGATTATTTTCCCCATCTCTTAAATATGTTACATAATTTTAATAAATTGCAACATCTTAGCATAATGCCCCAACATCATAGGTGCTTAAGCAGTACTTGACAATGATCATGATCATGATTATAGCGAAGTTAGCAATCTGGGTCTTTGTGCCTGAAGTTTAATTAGCACTTCAATGTACATTTTCGGAGCAGAATAAAACAATTATTGTGTAATTGTTCTCTGTAGCATGTTCTGATTCATGGATCTAAATATTGGCCATTATTTTACCAAATTCTCCTTTGATAGTCTGCAGTGTGACATGTGTCAATAGGACCAATTCACTATGTTTCTCTTTCATCTTTTTCTTCCCACGGCACTTCTTCAGAGTCAAACACATAACCAAACAAACAAAGTCCACCCTACTCCCCGACCAAAAAACAATCTCAGGATATTTCTGAGACTAAAATATGTTTCTCTTATATATCTATAAAGTACTCTGAAATTTATATTTTGATTTAGCTATAAAATCTATATTTAATGTGAAATAAACTTAATGTATTTTAAACATAGTAAAGTAAGTAGATTTGCCAGTTAATTAAAAGAAACTTAGCAAAACCAATTAATCAAGTAAAACTATTGTCTTGAATTCCCAGTAGGTATCCTAGACTTTGAGGCCAAACATATATGACAGACCATCACTGCCACCAAGGAATCGTAGCCCTCAGCATCTTTAGAAGTGCATACTGTGTATGGATAGCAAAGAATTCAATAACTGAGTAGCAGTGTTTATCACTTCATACAATGTTTACTAATAAAGTGGTAGACAATATGTAAAATGATTAAGTATACTTCCTAACCTCCGAGTCAGTGACTCTCACAGTAGCAGACATAAGAAGCATCTAGAAAGTGTGTTAACACACAGCAGCTCTGCCCCATCTCAGAGATTCTGATTCAGCACATCTGGGTGGGGCCCATGAGTTGGCATTTAGAAAATTGCCAGGTAATGCTGATTCTGCTATTCTGGGAACACACTTTGAGTCATAAGGCTGTCGGCCATTACATTCAAGCCATGTTTTTTCTCAGCCTCACTTGAATCACAACTTTTTGTTGAATATTGAGTAAACATTAGTATTAACTGGTTACTTAGCTTATATTTGCAGATGCTTTCCATGTGCCAGACAGTGTGCTTAGTACTTTATATTTATTTTCCTACTTAATCTGCAAAATGCCACTACAAAATAGATACTATTATCCCCCAATGTATAGATGAGTAAACTGAGTCTCAGGTTAGTAATGTGCTGCTTTTAAAGAGCTAGTAAAAAGCACAGTGACTGCTTAAGCCCATGTAATCCGTACATAACCCCTAACCACTACAGAAGAAACAGAATCCGTGCTACCTGTCCTAGAGAATATGCTAACTGGTAAAATCTCTTGTCTCCTTTTCTGGTTTACTTTGGCTATTTTATTTGTGAAGGAAGATACTTCTAAATTCCATAATCTACTTCATTTGAATAGTTTGCCAAGGGGGGAAAAGAAAAGGAGCCACAAAAAAGCATGTGATCTAATGCCCAGGAACCCTTGCTGCTGTGGGACTGTGGACAAGTTACTTAAACCTCTGAGTTACAGGTTCCTCATCAGGAAAATAAGAACAATGATCATTGTTTTTCCAGATTATTTAGAAATTAGAGATAATGTGTATAAAGTGAACAGCACAGAGTATTACCTAATACAGGTTTGTTTAAAAAAAAAAGGAAAAAGAAGAAGCAGATCAAAGCTCCCCCTTGCCTTGTTTACAGTGTGGTTGGGAAACCTAAGACAAGTTGCTATATATTTTCTAAGTTGTGCAGGAAATATCCCTTCTTTCGCACAAAATGGGTTATTATAGGATATTACAGAAATAAAATGTCACCTCCTTTGCTGAAAAATGACTTATGCCTAATTTGATAGCAGTCCCAAAAAATAAGGCATCAGAAAGATAACTTCAAATGAATGGGTCCCTGACCTTAAAGTGACTGCCAATTGCAAACCATACCAAAGAGCAAACAAGACAAAGCCATTAAAAATTGTGTTGGGATCATTTTAACTGTATTGGCAAGAATTGGAGACTATAAATGGATGAAGCAAAACAAACACAATTAAAGGCAGAATTTGAAGAAAATGGAAAACTATGTGTTTCACTTATTTTTATGTTCTTGTTTTTTCATGTTCCCACAACGTGTGCGCGCGCACACACACACACACACACACACACACACACACCCCTCATTATTTTTTTACTCCAATATGCTCACTTCTGTGGAATGCTTTAATGGGAAAGGAAATTTTTGGAATTATACATTTAAAAACCTTTGCAATAGTGTTCACTCTTTAAAGGTATATATAAATACACATGTGTATGTGTACATACACATGACAAGTACATTTATATAATAGTTCATTGTTTATTACCAAGTATTTATCTTTTGTCTATCTAATCTTATTTCCCATTTTAATCCTTATTCTTCATATTATGCTGATGAGTATTATTCATAGAATCATCTATTCTTCAAGAGAGGTTTATAAATTTCTAAATTCAGAAACTGCTCAGCCCTTGACATATCTAAAAGAATATATTAATTCTCTTCATGTATGCTGCCAATCCTTACAGAAATTTGCCATTGAGTAATACAGATTTTCTATTTCTGACTCTCCTTGGAAGTTCAACAAAGGAATTTCTTAAACAATAATGTTGATAGGAGAAAGCAAAGAGGGTCCTGGAGGTGAATTTCCAAACTGATGTATACTTTACAGAAAGTATGCAAAGCTTTTGCAAACCCTCTCCAGAAAGATGACCTAAGTTTAGCAAACCTACTTGAACTTTAATTGATTCACTTCCAGCTGAACATCAAAAGCTGGTTAGAGCTATAGCCAGGCATCCTCTTACACTGTAGGAACTG